ATAGAGTGGACGTGGCTAAAGGTATTTTCTTCCTAAACACTTAAGTCAATCGAAGTGGAAGATTCGATTGTTTATGGTTCATAATTTGTACCCTCTCTTTATATCTCTGCTTGTAATCGCTTTTAAGAAATTGTCATGTAACCGGTTTCTTAACAATAAATATTTTAAAAAAAAGATAAAACATCCAGAATCTTGGAACCGAACCAGAACCTTACTAGGAACTTAGAGGATGTACTAGGAACTTAGAGATGTACATTGGGAGTTTGTTAATAAGTTCTTAAAGGGTTCTTAAGTTAAAAAATAAAGGAAAAATGGTTCTTAAGTTAAAGACTCTCCCCGAGTCTTTCTCTCATCCATTCTCTTTCTCTCTTGGCGATTCATCATCTCCGATTAACGACAAAATCGCTTCCGATTCGTTGTATATGTTCCGATAAACAACGAATCGGAGCTGAGAACAACGATCGATGTAGGGGGTTTCTCCGATCTAGGGTTCTTTGATGCTTTTTGGGTTTAGGGTTTTTGTCCGATCTTCTCCAATCGATATCTCTGGGTCTTTGTGACAACAACAACGACGATTCTTTTGGGTTTTGGGGTTGTATCGAGTCCGATTCGTTTGGGTTTTGGGTTCTCATCTTCTTCTTCTCAATCTCGCTTTTTTCAATCCAATTCAAGGGTTCGTTTGGATCCAAATCAACTAAAGAAGCTACTTGTGAATACTCTAAGAAGCTGCTTAAGGTTTGTGGATGTTTGTTTAAATTAGTCTATTTTGTGTGCATGTTTAGACTTTAGACTTTTTCATTTTCGTGTGCATGTTTAAGGTCTGATTCTATCTCTCTTAATCGTTTTCAATATATTTCCCTGTTATTTATTGGGATGTTGATCATGATATCAGTGAGGGGATTCCTGGCGAATCTGATGAAGGTAGACTTCTGAATTTTTTCTTTTGAATTTCTTCCATTCATCTTGATATTGTCTTCTATTTTAGCTTTAGTGTATGGAAAACGATCTCAATTGATGGCTGCTTACTTGGTTTGAGTAAAATGATTAACTAGTTGCTCCTTGCGTCATTATACACATCTCTCTTGTGTGCAAAAGATAGGAAACTAGATTATAACTAGTGAAGCTGTTTTGTTGGCGCAGAGGGATAATAACATATGTACTAGGCGGAGATATTCAATTTGATTTCTATCATCGATGGTTTGATGCAATCTCTGTCAAAACACCTAGTTATGGTTTCACATGACTCTATGTCTAGCCGTTTAGAAACTGGACTCAGTTAAAGAAGTGATTATAATTCTTTCCTCTGATGATGTTTCTCTCTTTTGTTTGTTCAGGTTAATTGGAGACAGTGCAATAGATGGTAGAGAGAGCAAAGGGTGGACTTAATGACAAACCAATTGCTACAATCGAATATGCTTCCTTTTTGACCAGTGCAAGAAGGTAAACATCTTCTTTAATCCCTTATTACATTATTGATGGTTTGTTTGTGATAGTTGCAGATTAGGTAAAGAGTTAACTATGTGAGTGATTGCTTCTTGACTTTCCTTCATGTGTATAAATGCTTCTTAGTTTTAGATTATGACTGGTATGAAGTTTATCTCTGTGTACATCATCTTAAATATCTGTCAATGTGATGAATGCTTGTTAAAGACTTTAGGTAATTCTTATTTAATGTCACTGTGATGAATGCTTAGTTTTGGATTAGGTAAAGACATTACTATGGTATCGAATGCTTAACACAATAACCAGAACTTGTTGTGTTCTACTTAAACACGCAACTTAGGATAACCAAACCATTCTTTCATCAGAGACATGATACGGAACCGATTTCCAGTAACTTCTTAAGACACATAATTCTTGATTATTATAGCTTCTTTAGTATTCTTTAGCTTGATTTGAGATGATGAGGATCGTAAGTGTTTCATGAAGCAATGATCATTACTTAGTCTTTCTCTTAGCAACAGAATTGTATAAGTTATTTTTTAATAAACCCATCAGTTTTCACATGTTTTCTATGGCATTTTGTTTTCCTCTACAAGTGTGTTGTGATCATGATTTGTATAGTTTTCATTTGATTTTAATCTGCGGGGTTTGGCTTTATGTTATTCGGTTTCTACTCTAGATAATCTTCACTGGTTAGGATGGTTTAGTTGTTAAGGGATCTTCGAATATCGAATGCAGATATGCTCAACAGTTTAAGGTGAAGGAGAAATTGAAGCACAGGTTTTGAAACATGAAGATACAACTCCTTTCCCATTACTTTGTTGAAGTCGTTTTCTTTACAAGTAGATTATGTTTTCTTTTTATTGTACAGATTCCACAGTTTTCTTTTTATTTTAAAAACTCCTAATTAAAATCTACCAATAATGAAAAGGGATAATTGGCTAAAAATACAACAAAAAATTATAATTTAAAAACTAACAAAAAATCCTAAATCCAATGGTCTACATTTTGCCACTTGCCCCATTTTCTTAACTTTTTAATTTTTTTTTTGGTTATTCACAAAAAAACTCTAAATGAAAAATTTATATTAAAAAAATTGTTTACCAATAGACATGCTCTTAACTGAAAAGTCAATAGTCACAAAACACGCGCTCCTTACGTGCGTGTGGAAAGTTGTCTAAAGGGTAAAACGGTCATGAAATATACACTACACACCAAGTCGTCGTCTCGACCTGGACCGATTTACTTGTTCTTCACGTTAGCCACCATAAAAAATCTCCCAGTTTCTCTACCGTTTGCTTTCAATCCTCTGAAATGTCATCGTTTTCCATAGAGACTCACCCCGAAGCTCTCCGGCGAGATCGAATCCTCTCCAGCAAACTATACTTCGACGTCCCTCTTTCAAAGGTACAGACTTTGTGTGAGTTTGTGTAAATCTCACGATTTGACTGACGAATTTCTGTTAAAATCCACAGGTTTCGATCATCTACTCATCGGCATACGACATCTCCTTCATGGGTATTGAGAAATTGTCAGTATTTCCCCCCCAATCTCTCTTGGGAATTCGTTGACCAAACTTTTTCTGATATTGAGATCTGATATGCGCAGGTACCCATTTGATTCTTCAAAGTGGGGTCGAGTTTGCAGGTTCCTTATTTCTGATGGGTTTTTGGAGGAGAAATCAATCGTTGAGCCTTTAGAAGCTTCCAAGATTGATCTTTTAGTGGTACTTGGTGTTTCTCTTAGATGTGTTTGAACTGTGTATCTTGGATGAAGTTTTCTTTACATGGAATCATTTTTCTTGCGAGTGTAAAAGCTTTTCGTTTGCGGTTATTCTGTAT